TATGGCTTATAGGAAGAACAAGAAGAGGGAGAACAGGACAGAGCAGAGCCCCTGGCCTCCCCAAGCCAGACCATCCCCACCGAGGCACCCTCTCCACACTGAAGTCAGGGCATCAGAACCGGAGGAGGCAAAACCAGAGAGAACATAGACATCTCAGTAGATCTGAGAACATGGTGACTTTTGCTACAGCAGCTGGCCTGCCTCTCACACCCTCTTCTGGCTGAGGGGCCAGCACAAAATGAGTTTGCATCTTCCAGGGTTCAACAGCCACTTGACAAGGCAGTGTGACACCATCTCAGAACTGGAAGTGTGTGCAGAGGCTATGCACGCACATGGGTGCACACGGGAGGTACACACACACACACACCAACAGAAACACAGAGCCCTGAAAAAAAAGTGAAAGCTACACTTAGCTCAGAAGAGGTCTGGCCAGAAAAAAAGGATTCAGAGGAGGGGAGTGGAGAGAGGAGGGGAAGGCATGAGAGAGCATAAGACCAAATCAGAGCGCGGATCCCAGGTCAAGCCCTGGCAGGCCTGTGACACATGTATCTGCATTCACTCAACTTCTGCTGAGTCCTGTTAAGTGCCTACCTAGATACGTCTGGAAACCCCATCCCTTCCAGAAGACTTTCCAGACTTCACTCAAGGAAGGGTCCACTTACTCCAGATGAGTTCTACCTAAACACCTCCCTGCCTTCACATTCTTTAGGTTTCTACCCTGAAAGAGGTTCACCCAGGCAAAACAATGCTGCAGACCCCTCTCTACCTAAGCACCAGCCCCTCTGGATCTCCAGGGATTCCTCCTCCTGAGTGTAGCAGGCGTCACTAGTCCTCAGAGCTTGAAGGCTCCTTGGAGTTCACCTGTCCAGTGCCCACTTCCATGCCCATCATAGAGATGGGAATCTGAGCCTAGAGAAACGAGTGTAGGCTGTCACGCTCAGTCATCAATCACCATGAGAGGTGACTAAGGGCCTGCTCACAAGTGGCCCTGGGCCTCAATTCCTCACTTGTTAAATGGCATCATCAGACTGCCTTGCCTGCCCCAGGGTACAGTTTGAGCTCAGGTACAGCAGGCAGGCCTAGGTTCAGATTCTAACTCGGAAGCCTTGCTAGACACATGATCAAGTTTAAATGACTTAACCTCTTTGAGATTTGATTCCACATCCCTAAAAAGTGGGTAACAATCCCTACCCCACAGAACTGCTGTAAGAATAAAATAACATACAGAGAGGACTTAAAGCCCCTAGCACTCAAACAGTGGTAACGATTATTACTACTTTTGTTATTATTGCCATGGGCATGGGGAAAAGTCCTCCTGGGATCCTCTGCACTGAGCCTCCTCTGTCAGGCTATACATCTATACATCTAGGTCCCTGGGAACAGTACTCTTTCTCTGACCCCCTTTGCTCCTAGGACCCCACCAGCACCCAAGCTCCAAAGCAGCAAATCACAATTCAGCTCCATCTCTGTGTCTGGCTCATCACTGGTGGTCCTCTCTCCCTTCCTCCTCCCAGTGGGCTCAAGCCCCTACTGCCCCTGCTGCCACCACATCCCCCAGTACAGGGCCATCCCCATAAGTACACATTCCAGTGTCTCCCCCATGGGAGGCCCAGTTCCTAGGAGCCTACACTGATTTAGGGTGACCTGGGAGCCCTGCCTCCCAGAGGTAGTATCTCTCCCTGCTCCCAGGCTCCCAACAAAAGATGTTTCTCAAACTCCACTCCCAGCGGGTTCCCTCCAACATACCCTCCCTAAGCCTCAGGAAGGTCAAAGGCCCAAAGGCATTAGGGGTGTGGAGGAGGCATTCATTCTCTGGACCACAAAGAGAACGAGGAAGAATGGGGGCAGCTGTCTGGGAGCACTGGTCAGAACTGGAGGGTGTAAGAGGGACTCTTGAAAGGCATGAGTGTGCTGAGGACCAGGCCTCTCGAAGAGTAAGAACTCTCAGCAATGGTTCCAACTGGGCTGCAAGGACAACTAGTCTGGGATACCTCTCCCCAGCTCCCCAGATGAATCCTCTGCCTTGCTGTGGGGACCCTTAGCACATCTTATCAGGCTCCAGAATGAGGGGTAAAGATTGTGTCTGCCTCCAGAGCGGCAGAAAGAGCCAGTTCTGGAGGGAGACAGCATCCCAGCCCCAAAATTTGCCAAATGCATGTCTTTGGGCACAGGACTTCTTTCTGGGCCTCAGTTTACCCATCTATACAATGGAGCTAATGATACCCTACCTCATAGGACTGCATCCATCACAGCCCCACCCTCCAAACCTGAAAACTCAATGCGCCTATCTGGAATCTCTTACTGCAGGGGTGCCAGAACTGGGGTTGGCAGGCAAGGGTTACATAAAGCACACGTGGCCCTCTCCCAGATGTCTGATCCATTCTGAGCCAACGAGACCAAAAGAAATTTCTCAAAGATCACATGGACCGGTTCCCACCCTCTTTGCCCTCCTCCCCCAGGCCCTGACTATGCCTTCCCTCTTTTGCCAGTGGACCTCCCTGTCATTCCTGCCCTGGGGGTGTGGGAAAAGGACAGCAATGGAAGTGGCCACCCACTCAGAGGATAAGCTCATGGGCAGTGACATCATCCTGCCTGCCCTTCTTCCTCCTCACCTGACCCCGTGACTCAGGGCCACGGGTTCAGGCTCTGTTAATCTCAGAGGCTGCTTGGATTTCGGTCATTTTTCTTCACATAGCACAAGCCCTGTATGTCCAACCAAGAAGCAGCCTGCAATAAGCCAGACACTTGTTCTACAACACTTTCTAGGAGTCTCTTTGGGTGCCGTGGAATCCCAGCTTACGGCTCTATGATCACACTCGGTCTCTGACCCCAAACAGTATTGCTCAGCTCAGCATCAAACCCAAATCCTACTCCAAAGAATGAAGATTGACGACTCCATAGAAGGTTACAGTTTAAGGATAGAGGAATTCCCACCGGAACTTTCAGAAGTCCACCTCAGCAGAATAAGGACACAGGCTCTACAGAAGGGACAACACTTCTATAACTGTCCTTTCCACAAACATTCAAGCACCTGACCCAGCTATCAGTCATCTGGGTATCTCAGACATTCAGCCAACCTGCTTCCATTGGGTGCCCAGACAGAGGTGCAGAGGGCTGAGGACAGGAAGGAAAAGCGGTCCTCAAATCCCAGAACCCCTTCTCATCCTTGGGCTTGCTTTAATGTAGGCTTCCCATCTCTAACAAGCTGGATTGCCTGATTTCTTGGAACACAGGAGTCTGGAATGAATTGGAAAGCTCACTGAAAGCAGGCAGGAGAAACCACCAGTGATGTCACTGAAGACAGAAAAGAATTCCAAAGTCAGTCATGGGACCAATACAAGCATCACTGAAGCCACTTAGTGCAAAGCTCACTCCCTCAAAGAGTCCCTTTGCTATACAAAAGTCCTTAGTGCAAAAACTGTGATATGTGTAATACAGCGGAGAAAGATTTCCATGCTTAATGGTTAACGTAAGTGTTAATGCTTAATCTATACTCACCCAAAATATTCCCATTTCCTAAAGAGCTGGAAATATGAGCCACCACTCATACCCACAGCCTCAGAGCCCTGCCACTCAGATCAGCCCAACCCATCGGACGTGTTTAGAGTTAAAATTCAAGTTTAGACTTCAATTTCTCTCAGCCTCCAAAAGCACCCACCTGTGTGCAGGGCCCCAAACTACAAGGAAGGCTGCACAGCATCAGATTTCCTAGGGACTTCTGGGAGGCAAGAGGGAGTCAGAGAGGAGGCTGAACTAAATAAAGAACTCTCTTAAAAACAGAACAGCTTCATTACTTTCTAACATAGAAGCTAACTGCTAGAGACAAGCATGTAAGAAAAGGACCTAGGGCCTTCATTTAATGATGAAATCAGACTCATTTACAATTATCCACATCCAATTTGAAGGTAAATAGTTTTTCTCAATTAAGTCAAACAAACCCTCCCAACTCCCCAATGGTTTTTGCCTTCCTATTTGCTTAACGTTTTCCTCGATGATAAGATCCCATATCTGAGTCATCCATCACGCATTTCTCATTAGGGCAGGTTTGGCTGAGAAAGAAATCCCCTTTTCTGGCGTTTCACTGCCTTAGGCCCCCAAACCTGCCAATTCGCTAGCTAAGCAGCAATAGAGGACCTGGGACACTGGGATTCAATCCAATCCCCTCCCCTCTAGTGTGTCCCCACCCTGGGTCCCTACCTTTCCTCCACCCCCTCTCCATCCTACCCCACCCACCATCTCCCTGAGACTTCCCAAGCCCAAATGGCCCCACCCCTGCTCCCTCGTGCTCTGCCTCCCACCCTCCAACAACTATGCATCCCTTCACCCAGGCCAGCTGTCCCTGCCTGTCCTTCTCAGAATCTGTCCCCTCGTGCCCACTGCTGCCCGTGGAAGCCCTCCAGTCACCCACTCCTTCATCATTCTGGGCCAGGCAGAATGGACCCCCCTCCCCGATCCAGCCCCTCGCCCTCCTCTCCCTGGCACCTCTCCCTCCTCAGAACTAGTGGTCAGGTCAGGGTGTTTTCCTCTAAAGGGACTCCGCGAGACTCTACTTCCCTCCTAGCTCCAGCTAGCGGCTTCGTGAAGCTTTCCAGAATCATCAACACAATGACAGATCTGCCTCTATTCCCCCTGCACACCCAGGGCCTCCGCGATCACAGCTACCCGCCCAGCCTCCTCCAGCGGCTTCCCGGGAGAGGGCAGGTCCCACACTGCCCCGGACCCCGCCGGCCAGGGAGGGGACGCAAGGTTGGGGGCGGGGCTGGACTCTGGTAGCCCCCTGCCTCCTCCGGGACCCAGAGCCGGGGTCCACCGTGCTCCCCGCGCGGAGGCCAGCCCGGGCCCAAGGAGAGGGCTGGGGTGGGGGCGCCCTGCGAGAGAGGGGGCTCACCGCCCGCTCTAGCAGCCCTGCAGCAGGCACGCTGCCCGGCAGCCCGGGGCAGGGCTCGGCCGCAAACAAAGGCCGCCCGGACGCGCGCCGAGCCCGCCACGCAAGCACTCACCGCGCCGCGCCTGACTCCCGGGACTCGGGGACGCGGCGGAGCGCTGCCGAGTCGTCGTCGCCGCCGTCGCCGCCGCCGCCGCCGCCGCCGCCGCCGCCGCCGCGAGGCCGGGCGCGAAAGGGGTCCGGGGGCGGCCCCGGGAGTCCGAGGGGCGGGGCGGGCTGGAGGAAGCTGCAGGCCCGGAAAGGCGGCCCGGGTGCGCCCCGGAGGCGGGATTGGCCCCGCGGCGAAGGTTTGGGGCAGAGGCCTGAGCCCGCCCGCTGGGCAGGGCACCCGGCCGAGACTCGCCCCTGACCCGGGTCCAGACCCACGCGGGGGCCCTAGTAAAGGGGCGCTGGTCTGATCTCTGCCCATCTCCCACCCTGTCCCACCCTCCCAAGATCCGAAGTTTATTTTCTGCTAGGGGGACAGGTGAATGGTCACTGACCACCCCAGCTCCCCCTCCAGGCCGCTGGCAGCAGAGCCGGAGCTCAGATCTGGCTGTCTGACCCCCAGTCCAGTGTTCTCCGCCCCCAGGCTGGTACCGTGGCCTGGAAAGAGTTAATTCGACTGTGAGGCATTGAGAGCTGCTGGGAGCTCTCTATAAATACAGTGTGTCGTGGGCGCCTGAGCGAACCGCAGGGTAATTTCCACCTAGCTGGTTTTCCCCTTTTCCTTCCGCCCCCGGCCACCCGGCCAGCCCTGCCCCCAGCCCCATGCCAGGCTAGTGGCTACCCCAGGCCCCCAAAGGGGGAGCAGCTCTGACACCGCCCCAACCCCCTCCCCATGACCTGGGGCTCTGTCTTTATAGGAACCAGTTTCAGCCTGGGAGGAGATGGGGGGGTCAGGCTTGAACCCCCAGCCTGGGGAGAGATGGGGGTCAGGCCTCTGCCTTGGCACATCCAGCCCCTGCACCTATTCTCTGACCTGTTCTCCATTAGTTACAGACAGCAACAGCTAAAGTGTAGCAGTCCTCTGTGGGCCAGGGTAGAGACTAAGAGCTTTCCATGTGGGGCCTCTTTAAATCCTCACAACAGCTGGACCATGTAGATAATATTATCCCCATTTTACAGGTGAGAAAACTGAGGCTCAGAGAGATAAAGGGACTCCAATTTGTCTTATGGCCAGACCCACCACCAAGTGTCAGCAGCAATATGAGAGAGGGCTTAGGAAATATGCATGAATACATGCTCACCTCTGTGTGTCAGCCACTGTTTTAAGCTCTTTACCATTTTATCTCATTTCATCTTTCCAGCAATGCAATGAGGTAATGCTATTATTATCCTCATTTTCACAAATAAGGAAATTAAGACACAAGGAGATAGGTAACTTACTTAAGGATATCCAACCATCAAGTGGAGGAACCAAGATTTGCCCTCTTGCATGTAAGTGCTGAATTCAAACTTAATTATAGTGTTTGTGTGTGGCAGTGAGGCATGGGTGTCTGTATTTGTGAACACCTGTGAGTAACTCTCTGAATCTAAGTGCACATGTGTTTCTGAATGTAAGTTTGATAATGGCTGTGTCTGTGTGACTGCTCCTAGGGATGGGGCAGAGAGTGGAGGGATCAAGGCCAGGCCATCTGGTCCAGAGTTCTTGAAGGTCATCAGCCTCCCCTCCAATCCACCCTGCTTCTCTCTGCTCTGTCCAGCCCTGTCCAGTCTGGGCCTGGCCTCACAGTTCTCAGTATGAGTAGCCCCGAATAGGCCTCAAGACCTGGGGGAGAAGCATCCCAGGGAGAGGTGCCCCTGAGCTGAGAGATCCAGGAGCCCCACAGCAGAACTTAGAACTAATCTAGAGGAATTTGCTTTCCTTTCCTCCACCAGGAGTCAGTCCTGTGCTTTGTGCCCCAAGGTGGTGACACAGGTCCTGTCCCAGAGGACTTACAGTCTGGCAGGGAAGGCACAATTCAGCCGTGATGGACAGTGAAGGAACAGCACAGGGTAGTTTATAGCATAAACTGTATAGTATATAGTTTATGGCAGAGGCTGGGGGAAGACTTTTATCATAATTGCTAGAGAGATCAAGTCAGGAGGGAAGGAAATGAGTACTGGCTGTCATTCCTGGAAGCAGTGGCTTAATAGGGTGCTGATACCCCCCAGAAAGGGCAAACACTGTGGGCAGGGGATAGGCAGAGTGTTTGTAGGACAGGCTCAGCTGTGACTCAGACATTTGGCCCTGGACACAAACAGCTAGACCATCCCAGCACACAGGAATCTCCTCAGGTCAGGGAATGTTTGTTCTATGCCTAGTTGAAAATACAGTCTTCCTCAGACTCCCTTTGTAGCTAGAGGCAGTCACATGATCTAATGTGGCCAATGAGATGGAAGTGAAATTCACTGGTTGGGGCTTCAGGGAAAGCCCTTTGTTAAAGGAGATTGTTGACACTATCGAAAACATCATGGTGGTTCCTCAAAAATCTAGAGATAGAACTACCATAGGATCCAACAATTCTACTTCTGGGTGTATCCAAAAGAATTGAAATGAGTGTCTCAGAGATATTTGTACATCCATATTCATAGCAGCATTATTCACAATAGCCAAAAGGTGGAAGCAATGCAAGTGTCCATCAATAAAATGGAATATTATTCAGCCTTAAAAAGGAAGGAAATTCTGACACATGATAGAACATGGATGAACCTAAGTGAAAAAAGCCAACCACAGAAAGACAAATATTGTATGATTCCACTTACATGAGGTACTAATGTAGTCAAATTCATGGAGACAGAAAGTAGAATGGTGGTTGCTAGGGACTGGGAGAGGGAGAATGGGGAGTTATTGTTTAATGGGTACAGAGTTTCAGTTTTGCTGAAAAGAGACTGGAGATTGATTGCACAACAATGTGAATGCACTTACTACTGAACTATACACTTAAAAGTGGCGAAGATAAATTTTATGTTGTGTTTATTTTTCCACAATTAAAAAAATAGAAAAGAGCAGGCTTATCTGGCATGAGCCTTGACTTTTGCCTTTCACTCTCTTTTCTCTTTGTGCCTGAAGTGCAGACACAAAACCAGACAGTAAAGCAGCCATCTTGCAACCATTAGGACAAAAGCTAAGTAAGGGTGGCAGGGGAGAAAGTCAGATGGAGCCTGGCTCCTGAAGGCATTGCGGAGCTGCCACCCTGGCCCCGGATTGCTTCCAGCCCTTGGCCTGGCCCTCGAATTGCCATTGCTCACTCAGGATTGATGAGGGAGGAATGGTGACCCTTCATGGTCTTGTCCTCCCCAGGCTACCTATAAGGAACATCAGACCACCATTCTGGCAAAGGGAAGGGGTGTCCTGGCCCTCTTATTACTCTCCCCAGGACAGAAATTCTGAGTTCATGGTGAAATTCAAAGACAATTTCCTTTGGCCTCCTTTGACATACAAAAGGACAAGTGTCTCCCTCACCTGTTTGAATACTCTTAAATCCAGCAACTGGATTCCTTAACCTAGCTTTAAAGTGGGGGCTATACAGTTGTTTTTGACTCTATAGAGCAGCTAAGCAGTCCATCTTTCAGAGAGCAGCTTAGAGACATTGACATGCCTCACCTAAGGCCAATACTCAAAATATTTCATGTCTGTAAGAAAGAAAAATCAATTCTTGGTAGCACTGGGGGCTTAAGGCCCAATTTGACCGTTTTTTCCGAGGATCCCTGTGACACCAATATCTTGGCATTGGCCTACCTCCACTCAGGCTGGTTGCTGCAAATCACCTCCTGAGTTGTCTGCATTTTCAGGCCTCAAGTCCTTAATGTCTTGGCAAAGGCCACATCCCCCAACCTGCCCCGCTCACTCATTTAGGGCTCCCAGGGCTGCCGATCTGGATCCAGCCAGCCAGCCCAGACTGTCTATGTCAACTCCATTTCCCTGAATGAATGGATCCAGTGTAGAGTTGAATATGGTGTAGAGTAACTACTGCAGGTTCCTGCTAGAAAGTTTCTTATTTCTGGCACTTGAGTGTTGGAGTAGACTTCAGGTGTCTAGATCCAAATACTTCCAGCTGGAAGCTTCTGGCTGGCAAAATAAAATAATAACATTTATTATTAAATTATTATTAAAATAATAATCCTCCTGGGAGGATCATCTGGGAACACTTCACCCCCAAAACACACACACACACACACACACTCTCTCTCTCTCTCTCTCTCTCTCTCTCTCTCCAAAATAACAAAACACCCCCTAACCCCTAACCAGGCTTGTATAACTAGCTATCTCTATCTGACCCACCATCCCTTCTTCATTATCTGTCCCAATTGGAGCCATTCCGCCCCCTCCCCCTTGCTTCTCCCTTCTCCATAACCCAGGTTTACAATGCTCCCAGTCCTAGGAATCCATCTCAGAGCCTGTATCCTGCTGCTGGAGGGTCGGGGTCGTCCTCCCAATAGGAGGGTTAGGCCAGAATTAAAGAACAAAACAAGAACATGAAAACTGTACCATAATGCCAAGGGAAATCTGTCATCACAATGGGAGTTGGGTTTTTTCTAATGACTTCTAATCATGTGAAAGTAGTTGAGTTATTAGCACTTGCAGGGCCCTGAGAGCGAGCACCTCCTTCAAGTTTGCATCATAGATGTCTCATTTACGGCACCCTCACCCTAGTCCTGCTCTTAGGTTTGGCCTATGACAGACTCAGAGAAGAGAGCACATAACAGGATGACAAAGAGTTCCAGCTAGAAGAATAAGGCACGGAGAACAAGGGGTCCAGCATCTGAAGTCGGCAGTGGAGATCCTTGTAAGGAAGACAGTGGATAAACCTCTTGAAATCCAGAAATCCCAATCTCAATCCAGGTGCTAAATCTTAAGTACTAATATTGCTGTTTTCAGTCACATGTTCTCAGTATGGTCATTTGGTTTTAGTTGGGCTTGAAAAAGTGTGCCTGGGCATCTTCAGGACATCTTACCATAGCCTCAATCCTGGTAGGGACACAAGGGAAGGCTTCACTGCCCCAGGGCTGAGAACAATTTATTCAGTCCTCCCTTATGGGTCATTCTTAACCTGCCAGTTCTTTATGTCAATCTCTAATTTCTGGGGCAGGACCACCGATTGCCAGTCCTGGCCCCCTTTCCCTCCCTGTCTTCTCTCAGGCCACTGTCCCTCTCTTTGGAAGAAATACAGTGTGTGATGGAAGTGAGCTCTCTCGGACCATGTCTTGGCCACTGC